TTCCAAAATTTAGGGGTGCTTAGTAATATCTAATGTAAATGCAAATGACGTTCCATATTGCAATGATAAGCATGGAGTCAGAAAAGTCCTTTAACAGATTGTTTGGTTATCTTGGAAATGGCTTTATCATGCGATGAGTTAACTAATGTATTTTCTTTCTCTAGCTGGAAATCTTGTGTTCAGTCAATATTCTACAGTTCATATTTATTGCACTCAGACTAGATGAGATCATCAGATGGCCATGGCTTGTATGTAACAAGTGTTTTCTTCTTACCTTCGTTTAAATGCTGAATTTCATAAAGATAATTACTATAGGGAACAGTTAATGTATGATCAGAGTCCATGATCACATTTTTGATTGTTTAACAATCTGTCGCTGAAGGTCTGGCACTTCATTCAGTGGCCATGGGAAAGAGAGGCTGTTCTTTTCATCCTTCAGGGGAGAGGGATGTGCCATCAACTGTGATTAATCTCTGATTAGTTGTTGAAAGAGAAATCCTCACCAGAAGTTTCCAGTGGGAACACTAAACTAGCCATGAAAATGACTGGTGAATTAGGGAATGTGTTGGTAAATATGGGGTGGTAAATAACTGGTTTTATTTGTTGTGTTACCATGCATGTAAATCCACTTACTGTGCAAGTGGTTACTGTCAAAACTGCTGAGATCTCCTGTCCTGAGTGCCTTTAGAATACAAAAGCACTGTTTGTGTCTGGGTTTTTGTAAACTACTGTAAAACTGATAATCTGGCATGATTATCACTGTCCTTTCTCTTTTCCAAAAAATGAGGAAAAGTATCTAATTTAGAAACTATTTCAAGTAAGATGTCCAGTGTAGAAAATACTTGCTGAAATGAATTTCAAGTACTGTTTGAGCCCATGTAAAAATCACAGAAGTCTTATTAAAGATGAACTACATGGACTTAAAATTAAGTTGTTTCATCTTGATGGGGTTTACAAAGCTAACTGAGGAACGAACCCCAAAGAGGTAATATGGCTCATAACAGCTTGTGAAACTTTCCTGTTAGAGGTTATATTAAAGAGCATTAGACTGAAATTTTTTTTTCTCATTACTGAGAAAAGTACATATACATACTCAGATATGTACTGTATCTGAGTACATATACAGACTTCATATGTAGACTTGCTTTATTTAAGAAACCCCCACCTGAAACAAATCAAACTGATAAAAATGTATCACTGTCGGGGTGGGGAAAGCAGTTAATTTCTTTTTTTTTCAGGTTGTTTGTGTTCCACTGTGGATCTTGATGTCCTTTCTGTGTCTAGTAGTGCTCTATTACATTGTATGGTCTGTTCTGTTCTTGCGCTCTATGGATGTGATTGCTGAGCAAAGGAGGACACACATAACGATGGCCGTCAGCTGGATGACAATTGTAGTGCCACTGCTCACATTTGAGGTATGGAAAAGCATAACAAGTTTTAAGTATCTTGTTCTTTTTTCAGTGAGTGATGAATGTTGCTCTGCTTCTTTTTGAACTTAGTAAAATGAGAATACTGTTTTTTGGTTCGGAATAAAATATTAATAGCAAATGTGGAAAAAAAAAAACCCCAAGAATTCTATGTTTCTTTAAAGTTGTTTTGAGTAAAATAGGCATCACATTGGAACTGTAACTACATGTTTCTGTGGGGGTCATTTTTTCTTCACAGATGTGTGACGTTAAAGATTTGAGATCAGTGTCTGTTTTAAGAAGCTTGAAAGTAGGTATTGCAATTAAACTGACATTGTATAATTTTGTTCTTGCCATTTAGATCTTACTGGTACACAGACTGGATGGGCATAACTCTTTTTCTTTTATACCCATATTTGTTCCTCTCTGGCTTTCACTGATAACTTTAATGGCAACAACATTTGGACAAAAAGGAGGAAATCACTGTAAGTATTTAAAAATCATGAAAAAAGGTTGAAACTCAAGGCTTTAAATGTCCTTTATTAAGATTTGTATTTTCAAAAAGGCTTTTTTGTGTATATTCGCTCATGAAAGAGTTCACATATCTCTGTTAGTATTGTTTTCAGGTGATTTTAGTAAGTTTTCAGTATTTATAGTGTCTCTTGCTTTTTTTTCTTATTCCTGTAAGAGCATATCTTCTGCTCAGACTCAACTTGAAATCTCAATCCGATTTTAATTGTAACTTAGCCTTTTCTCTTTCCTTATTTCCATGGGCTTCATTCTCACAGGACGTGACTGGATCTTTCTGCTCTGGGTTCTGAAAATAGTGTAGGAGCTACCATTTTTAATCAGCATTTGTCCTAGTAGCCTGCACTAGTATAATCTTTCTTCTTTCGCCAAATAGTGCTCTGTGCTGCTTGGTTGTGTCTTCAGTTGCCTGAGTGGCCAGCATGGATTTGCTGAGCTTTTAGTGCTGCCAAAAGGAGCGTTTGCACTTTCAGCCATCTAATGTTACTGAACTGGTGCAGATGAGTAGCTCTTCCCATCCATGTTGCAGTTCATGTGCCTTGTTGACAAGGCAGTAAAATTTGTTGGGATTTCTCAGAATTGAAAGGAACCAGCTGTGATTTTTGTTATATAAATTCACTTCAGTTTTGATCTGATTGTGAAGTACACTAAGAATTTCTTTGTTTGGTCATGACTAAGTTTATCTCCGTACCTTTAGTTTACTTTTATATTGTTATTGAGTGGAAAATTGTTACTGGTGATTTTTTTAAAATTTTTTTTTTAAGTGCATGCCCTGAATTTATAGCCACATTAATCTTTTTGGAAAGTCAAATGTCATTTTATCCTCTATAGGGTTAATAAATATTGATGTAAGTTTTTAAAAAAGACTATTCACCTGAAGGGACCCTCAGAAGAATTACACCTTTAAAGTGCTAAGCGAAATACACCAGTTAGCTGTGAAGTATAGTCTCTGCAAAAAGATGGGTTGTGTGGGATCTTCCCTGGCAAATGCTTAATACCTTGCTTTTGTTCTGTGTGAAAGATTTGACTTGGGCAGGCTGTTCCTCTTAACACTGACCTTTGGTATTGGTGAATGGAGGAGTGTCACCTGCTAAATTACAAGTGCCACTTACTTAAATGCTTTCTTTCCAAGTCTTTGCGTATAGCAAAATACATGACAAACACAGGATGTGTACTGTTTTCTAATCTAGCAGAGGTAATACCAAGGATGAGAAACTCCTGGCATCATATCATATTTGGCTACCAACAAAAGTATTTAGGGAATACTGAATATATACTAATATATACTAATCTGTGTCTGCCTATGCCATCACATTCCTTTTGGTATTGTAACCTGTATGTACCAAACAAAAGTTGGCATGAATGTCTTCCCATGTGGCACAGATTGCTTTGATTGAGATGAAGACTCTTTTGTGTTCTTTCTCTGCATGCTAATGTGACCTGACACTGCTTAACATGTGAAATGAAATGGATTCTTGCTGTGGTAGTATAGCTGTAATTTATACATATGGATATATACACACAGACATGCATGTGCAGACATGCAGAGGTACACAAATGCGTGTACGTATATCTGTGTGTCATCTGAACTGTAATGTTGTTCTATAATAGGTGTAAGTAACAGACTGAGAAGTAGCACTAACATATTGTTCATACGCAAACAATCAAGAGAACTTAAATGAGATTGCGGAGTCTTCCTACTTAATTAAATTTTCATTCTGTTCTGCAATAATGTGAAATTAATTTTTTTTGTTTTAGGGTGGTTTGGAATTCGCAAAGACTTTTGCCAGTTCCTGCTGGAAATTTTCCCATTCTTACGAGAATATGGAAATATTTCTTATGATCTTCATCATGAAGATAATGAGGAAACAGAAGAAATGCCACTGCCTGAACCACCAAAAATTGCACCAATGTTTCGAAAAAAGACTGGAGTGGTCATTACACAGAGTCCTGGAAAATATGTGATTCCACCTCCTAAATTAAACATTGATATGCCAGATTAAGATGACAGTAGCCTATTAAATTTGAACTGGCAATCAGCAGACAAATGTATTTCATCTCATGCCTTGTCCCAATTACTTTAAAATAGGTATTGCTGAATCAGTGGCTTGGATTACACAAATCAGAGATCTTGAAGATAATCTGAGAGCTTTTCCAGAGATATGTGGTGGTCTAATTTGTGAACCTTCCTAATGGGTTGGTTGCACGCTTGCCTGTATAGTATTTATATGAACATTTTAGTGTAATATATTGTTTAAAAGTCTTGTTGTGTACAGTTTAAGTATTATCTAAAAGTATTTTTTTAAAAACCCTGTATGAAATGCCTATGATATTCCAGGTGTTCTTTAGGTCCTAAATATACACTTGATTTCCACATCTGTTTTTAAATGCTTTGAGGATGCCTTAGTACAGTACCTCTTTTACTTTTTCTGTTCAGCCACAATCATTGTCTTAACCATGGAGGCACAGGAGTGTTGCACTTCTCAGGCAAGACTGGAAAGCTTTTTGAGGGGAAATGGAATGTATGGCAACTTACATGATGTTTTTGAGTTAGCTATGGAAGTATTTCAAATTTTGCACTGGCTTGGAAGTGTTGCTTTTGTTGCTTTTCCAGTTTCACGTTTTAATTCTTCATGAGAAGCATATACACCATTCTCCCGTTAGACTGGGTGTTTAATAAGCTGTTCCCTCTTGCATTGTGCGTGCAGTCTTCTGCCAGAAACATTAGTTGTGGGTTTTACAGCTGTTGGTTAGCTGGTATAAATATCATAGCTTGGTCTTCATTACCAACTTTGTGTTGGTGTAAACGATTAAACTTTTCAAGATAGTAACTCATTGGTGTTGGTATAGCATTTTCTTCTTTGAGGAAAAACCTCCTTTGACAGATTGTCTTGGACTTCTGGGTGCTCTAGAGAAATTTAGTCTTTGAAAGCAATACGTCAGTAGTTTATAAAAACAGATGTTGGATACTCCCACATCATTGCAGCTGCTCTTTGTTTTTAGGTGAATGTACATTTTAGGTAGCTTAAATACCACGGATCATGTTTCCTTGGTGTTAGCATAGCAATGAGGTAAGAGTAAAGAGTCTATGGACACTTCTGCATGTGTGAAAGTTGCACACCTGAAAAACTTCAGAGATGTGGCGCTTTCATTCCTAATAGTGCAGACCTCTGCCTTCCCCCCAGTGGACCAGCTACTAGCTGAAACCAAACACATCATTATCCTATCCTACACTTAAAATTCTGTTGCAGTTTTATTTGCTTTTTGGCTCGAGTGAAAAAATCTGTAAATTAAAAGCAACAAGTGCTATTTAGGATGTGCTGCTGCTGTTTCCTGTTGCTAGGAAGTGGACACTGCTCTGATGTCATGGCAGTGCAGCATGGGTGTCGTAGTGATGTTTGAGAATTTTCCCTTGGGATTCTCAGTCAGTTGGTCACTTCCCTTCAGCTGGCTGTCTGGGTAGATGGCTTCAACTGAAAAATTTACTCAAGCTGAGAAAAAAGAATTTAAAATGGAGTTTTCCTCATCGGAAACTTCATGTAATTCTGTTCTGGACAAGTGAGTTGATTCGTCAGGCTCGACAACTTCCCTCTATCGAGCATGTGACACAAAGAGCAGGTAGTAAGGCTGCTTTTGGACCTCCAAGAGAAGAAAGGTCTCTACAAACCTGGTCAAAAAGAGAGTGCCTATATTCATCTGAGGAGAGCTCTAGCAAAGGCAATGCCTCTACATGCCTCAGCTTTCTGAAGAAGCTCTGGGATGTTGTTAAAAACAATTGGTTTGAGTCCATTTGGTGGGGCGACAATGGAAAGTGTATAGTGATTCACAAAGAATTGTTCAAAGAGGAAGTACTATCAAGGAGAAAACGTCTGAGAATTTTTGAAAGTGAGAGCATGAAAAGCTTCACTCATCACTTCCATCTGTCTGGATTCACTGGAAAGTTGTAGGATCTTCCAAAATCGGGCTCGCGCAATGGCTTGCTAGTAGAAGAAACAGCTAGGGAGGTATGTTGGATTCTCTGCATGCAAACTAATACTTAGAATATTCTAGTGGGACATATTTCTGTTCCAATGAAGTAAGCCTTTACTACATAGGAGATCAAGATGGTAGTAAACATTCTGATTGTCATGTTCAGGAGTGTTTGAGGTAGCATTTCTGAGTAGTAGAAATGCTGATAAAATACACATTGGTTATTTCCAATTACTTTGAACACACAGAATGAAAATATATTCTCATTGTATTGGGGTTTGATTTTTTTTTTTTATTTGCTATATGTCTTGCTGTACCAGATGTGGACTTTTCTGGTGACATTTGCTGAAGGCTGAGAAAGTATGTGTTGGCATTGTATAGTTACCTACATGTTCACTCCATGCTGAAGTTGCTGAAAAGTAGTGGTATTTGGGTTTGTAAATCAGTTTGCATGCTTTTGAAAATCATATGCTTCACCGCTACCAAGCGGCAAGAACACAATGCTGGTTAGCACTTACCAGGACTGTATTGAACAATTTTATTCAGCCTAAACTTCAGGCACAGAATGCCCCTAATAGTCCTTTAACATCCACGTTTTTCAATTAAAATTCTTAGTCCTTGTATCTTTGGTTTCCAGTCTCAAAGTGGTGGCAACTAACTCTTTTCTTTTTGCATTTTTTTTTTTAGTTTCACTTCTACTACA